GATGTCTGGCACAGAGAGAAGACTGAGAGGGATGGAACATCATGCCTGTTTTCCAGTGTTAGAAAGACTGCCACATGTGTTCTCTTTAGCTCCTGAAGTCAGAGCTAGAAACCGGGGTTAGAAGTTGCAAAAATGTAGATTTATCATGCTTTAAGCTCACTAAGCTTATTGTCCACTTAAATGCCCAGATCTTTTTTCAAACAAACTGTCTAGCTCCCCTACTGCCTTACTTTGTAGAGGAATTGGGAATCAGGCTAAGTTATGGAGGGGCCTAGTGAGAATGTCGACTTCCTCATAGGAAATAGGGGGCCATGGAGGGTATTTGAGTAGAAGAGTGATATGATGAAAGTACTCCGTACTGCTGCCAAGTTAACCTTTGTTAGGTAGGTTTGAGGAGAGCTGATATTAGAATCAAGGGACATTCAAAAAAGGGAGATTTCTAGTAATCTAGCTGTGGGGTGGTGCTTTAGAGCTAAGATGTGAAACACTTGGCCCCAAAGCCAGCAACACTGGGGAGTCGGGAGGAACCAGATTAAAATGTAATTGGGAAATACTTAAACTAAAAATTCAATAAAACATAGATGTTCCATTTTAAAATGAAGCCAATGTGCCGTGGCGCACGCCAACCCCCCGCCATCATCATGTATGGATTAGTGGCCCCTTTGGTATTAGAATTTGACACCCCTGGTGTAGAGTAATAGTAGAGAGAGAAGAATGTAAGAGACCTTTCTAAGGGCTAATTTCTCCCACTCTAGTCCAGCCTCCACACTGCTACTAAATTCATTTTAATTTTTCAGTATTACTTTCATCACAGTCTCCATTGACTGCAGTAATTCCCTAAATTAATTGGGCCACGGGAACTTGAAATCTTGATGGAACCAATAAGTATGGTTTCTTTCTTGATGGGAAAGCAGAAGTAGCAATAGATGATATCCATTGGATAAAAGTTGGGCTGGGAAAATGTTGGATCAATATAGAGGAGGAAATATGGTATTTTCATTTTACCAAATTGCCATGTGAACTAAGTACTTTGGGTGCTTAATTCCATATTTAATATTTTAGGGCAGGGTTGTCAAAACTTCCAAGGGCCAAATGTAGCCCCCTGGCTTTTACACTTTAAATTACAATAAAACATCATTTTGTGATGTAAAAACCATTCCTAATCAGCCAGTGGTACCAAAAACATGGGGGGCTGAGTGTGCTGACCCCGATTTTAGGAGGCCTAAAATTGCCAACATCAGATTTTTCACAGAAACCATATTCTAGTTATTTGTGTCTTTGTCTGATCTCCCCAGTTACAATTGTAAGGTCCTTGAGGGCAGATTCTGGGCTAAATTTATCTTTTATCCCCTAAACACCAAATGAAGTCATTGGCTTTAGAAGGTGCTAAAGTGTAGTAAATGTTGAATTGAGTTGTATTTGCATCCTTCAGATTCATATTCTACCAAACTAGGTGGGGAAACCTGGGCCTAGAGGAGAACGTCCAGATTCCTCAGCCTGGCACAGAAGGCCCTAGCTTGTGCCCTAATTGCACTAACTGTTGTCTGAACACCACACTAATGTCTTGTCTACTCGGGGGACTTTTTATCATGTCTCTGCTCCCCGGCCCTGCCGCGCACTGCCATTGAGTCTGTCCATGCCGCCTTCTCTACACCCCACCAGCCTGTAGCGTTCCATTCCTTCCCGAGCCCAGTGTTCTCTGTCTCCCCACTTGAGAGTTAACCGTGAAGAGTTTGTCCCATAAATTAGATCTAGGGGTGGGGAACCTGTGGGCTGGAGGTCCCTTGTGGCCTTCTCGATCCTCGGGTGTGTGGTCTTTTGACCGAGTCCACGTTTTACTGAACAAATCCTTTTATTAAGGGGATTTACCCTGTGAAGTTTGGATTCAGTCAAAGGGCAGCACTTGAGGACCTAGAGGGCCACATGTGGCCTCCAGGCTGCAGGTTCCCCACCCCTGGTTACTAAGGCTGCCTAGTACAAACAGTGCTAGACTTGAATCTGGAGAAGCTGAGGTTCAAAACCTGCCTCCTCTTACCAGCTTTGTGACTCTAGGAAGACCATTTAACCCACTGAACCTCAGTTTCTTATGTAAAATGAGGATGCGAATATAGGTAGTATCTCCTTCCCTGGGCATCGTTAGGATATGCACATGTCTTGTAGAACAGCTGGCTTATCTGTCCTGTTAGCCTCCTTAATTCCAGATTGAAATGAAGTGCTCTAGGCTACACATTGACTCTATCTTTTTGTGCTTTCGTCTTGTCTCTCCAGAGGTGGTTAGAGTCTTGGACTACTTTTCTTCCTCACTGCCCCTCTGTACTTTTAGTTCAGTAAATTATTTGTGGAATTGTTGAACTGAAGTTAAGCCAGAGCGGAGAAAATGGGTATACTTTTCAGCAAGAAAAAGTTTAGGCTGGATACCAGTAACTTCTTGGTGGTTATAGTGTATTTCTATTGCCTAATCCAGTTAAGCTGGATCCTTTACCTCCCAAGATGTTTTGCTTTTTTTTTTTTAATGGAATTGGTTTTGATTTTTCTGGATTATTTTCATTGCTGACCTGCCTCTGTCTTCTCATTGCACTGTCTTTTCTACTTGTATGATTCTGTGACATTACAGCTGCCTTAGACCACAGATGTGAGACATATGTGAAAGCACTTTGAAAGATAAAAATGTTCTTAAAATATAAGGTGGTGGCATTAGAGTATTGGCAGTTTTTATGTCTGGAGAACCTTCAGCTTCTGTTTGGAAGGTGAGAACACTTTAACACCCAGATTGTATGTCAGTTAAACAGATGCTTTAAAATATTTGAAAGCACATCTTTGTTGAAGGGAGAATAACTATTTGACTTTATCTCCATCCTGGGGGTTAGTAACTAGGACAGTGCTGTGCTTTGAGAGCTGACATTGATTGTAAACTGACTGTTAGAAACTGTAAAAGAATTTAAAGATGTATTCCAGATGTACTATAATGTAAGTGGTTTTCCTCTAGCCACGGAGAGGAGGTGGAAGACTGTTAAGATATATTCAGACTCAAAGTAATGCAAGTTACAAAAGGCATACTGGTGAATTTTGGAAGCTTCTTGAGTTTTCCTCATACGGGAACACCAGTGCTGACTTCATTAACTTAGAGCCAGTATTGCTAGAAGCATTGGAGACTTGAGATGCCCCCTAACCAATCCTCAGTCCTGTTTTCTGTGGACAGGTCATCTTAGGACTCTGGGACTGCTTTGCACAGTTAACATACCCTTGGTTAAAGTTGTAAACTTTGTTTTCACTTATTGGAAATAACACTGTTGACTTTATTTACATTCTAGGCCCACCTGTGGAATGAGGACTAGGTTGCCCTGGGCTATTGATCTCCATTAATAGAGTTCAGATTTTTGTGGAGTACAGCCCCCCTTTACAGGAGGGAGCAGTCGGGGCTAATGTTCTTTAAAAGAACCAGAGTTATTTTATTTCCTATTATTTCCTATTGTAGCATGATGTTTTGGAAAAATTAGTGTCAGTGAACTCTGTCCTTGGGCAGGAATTCAGACATTGCCTTCCGGTGGTAGGTCTTTGTTGGTCTCACTGACCTTAATAACTATTTCAGGTTTCCTTTTACACAACCGCAGTGTCCTTGAATAATTTCCCTAATACATTGAGGACAAACAGGTTTTTCTCTGGCATTGTATATGTGTGTTTTCCTCTTCTAACTTGGTTTTTAACCATGTGCTTTTATCGTTGTAAGAGAAATTAGTTTCTGTTAGGTATTTTCTGAAAGATTTTTGTAGGTATGGAATGGCTGGTTATAGGAATTATTCTTTCCCAATAACCTTTTCACTTTATACAAGATTGAATACGGCTGAATTTGAGTGCTTTTCAGTAAAATCTCCTTTTTTCCTAGCTGCCATATTGCTTATTCTTTATTTTCAGTTATATGCAGTTGATGCAAATAGTCCAAAATACTCTTTGGGTCTTTTTTTATTTGATTCTATACTTGTTATATGGATATAGACCCTGATGTTCGAAGAAGACATTTTTGGTCCAGTGGCCTACCGTGCAGAGCACAAAGTACAGATACCTTTCTACTTTTGAGTGATCTGTACTTAAAAATGACAACCAAGAGCTCTTTGCTGCCCTAGGAACTACTGTTCTGTCTGTGGGACCAGAAGTAGAGGAAAGCAGGAGCAGTTTCAGGGAGCTTCCCTGGGTTACAGAATGCTCCCTGCCCTAAATGCCTCTCTGCATCTTTTTCCCCTGGTTATGCCGTCCAGAATTTTACCTGTGACAGGTTCTTTTTCGATTGAGGGGCCTTGAATCATTCAGGCCTGAATGTGAATGACTCCCTCCAAGTGTTTTCCTCTCGATGCTTAGTTGAGCTCACTTCTGGGAGAATGAGAGTTTTGATTGTAATGAAAGGAGTGAAATGAGAAGAAATAAAAAACGATTTTGGAGTTTGGCACAGAATCCTTTACTCCTCCCAGCATTCTTGGTTACTCGGGTTTTAATAGAGTTGACGTTTATGGCCAATTATGTGGTTTTGTCGGTGCTGGGGGAAATTTTGTTAGCTCTATTCCTTGACCAGAGAAGGAAATGTGTCATAAAACTTTCCTCTTTATCTGAGTTCAGCTTTTCCTCTTAGTCTTTTGGGTTAGGGAGCAGCCTTAAATAAGTGGTATAACGCAGGTGACCTTTGGGGAGAACAGGCTTGTGATCTTGCACAAGAGCCATTGTTTTTGTCATCTAGGAATCCTTGCATGTGCAGCATGAGTTTGTACTGGATTTGTACTTGGGGTCATGTTATGTGACTAGCTGGTTTCATGCCAAAGATGTTGTTCTTTGTTCTCTAGGTGGCTCAACCAGTAACATTGCTTTATAAATCCTTATCTTTAGTTAATAAGATTGTGGGGTTTGACTTAAAATAAGACTTTTCCTTCTTTCTTTCTTGATTTAAAAAATACCATATTTTTCCTTTATGGACCAATATCATGGAATAATTTAGACTTTTTTAAAAATTTCAGACTGTGCAGTGAATGTTCATAAGAATTGTAAGAATTTACTGGCCGACTGCAGTAATAGCAATAAACTCAAGGTAGGTTTTAAGCCCAGCTCTTCTCCCAAGAAAGTAATTGACAGAGATCCTCAATTTAAACACTGACTATACCTTAAACTTCTAAAATAATACATGTGAATTAAGAATAGGGTATGATGCCTGGTTCCAACATTTTTCCTATCTTTAAAATTTAAAGCATACTTTCCACATCTCAGTTGGTAAGAGATTTCCAAGGTCATCATGCTTGCTCAGGACCTCTCTCCATAAAATGCCTGAGAAATGGCCATTCCGGTTCTGTTTGATGATTGTTGTTGGTAGGGAACAGCCCACTCTACTTTGAAACACATCTGATGATTTGAAACTGTATCCTTAAATCTAGTCAAAAATCTGTTTTCTCTGCAACTCTTACCGACTTGTTCTAGTTTTGGTTCTGACATGAAGTCAGAGCTATAACATCTCCCCTTTACATGTCTCTTCTTCAGGTGAAATATCCCTGCTTCGTTCAACTGATCCTTTCCAATTAGAGGACACAGTCTCCTGTCCCCATAGGGGGATTCTGCTTGCTCTCTTTTGCATGCAGTCCAGTTGTCAGGGTCCTTCCCTAAGACCTGACTCTGAGAACTGATAACAGGACTCTAGATGTGGTCTGACCAGGACAGCTTAGAGTGTTAATGAATCCTAAGATTGTTATTGTGTCCCACTGATGACTCTGGGAGCTTGCAATTCTCTAAGACCACCAGATCTTTTTCATGTGAAAAATCAGCTGATTGTCTGCCATCTTAAGCTTGTACAGCTGATTCTTTTAACTCAGGTGTACAGCTTTATGATTGTCCCCTGTGGATTGATTTGGCTTCTCATCCTAATCTGGCCAGAGAGATGTTTGGTGATCTTAGTTTTGTCATCCAGCGTGTTAGTTATACCTCATCTCTGGGTCACTTTCAGATCTATGTCTTGATCCAAGGTGAAGAATCCAGGATCCCTGGGGCACTCCAGTAGCACCCTCCTTCTCTAAGTTAACATCGATCCATTAATGACTCCTTTTCCACCAACATCTCTCAAGGATGATATTAGGATGAATGAGTAAATATTTGCAAAGATTTTCAGTTCCTGTTCTAAAGTAAAAGTCTTATGTGTAACAAAAATATTTTATCACTGTTTTCATGCTGTGAAGTAGGTCCGTATTTTATGTACCCTATTTCAAGCATGTTCACCCCTAAAAGGAGTAGGTCCTGATGTCAGGTATGGATAATTACTACTTCACATTACTACTTTACTTGGACAGTAAATTTTCCATAATCACCAGAATGACAGGAGGTAGCTGTTATTAAGCAGCATACACTTTTATAAAGCAACGCTTGGTGCTGCTTTGGTGTGCAGTTTTACAAATACGTGTATTCTCATTTATTGAGAGGAAGGCTTTGTAACATCCTCTGAATTTTCAGTTAAGTTTTTAAAAATGTGAGTGCCTGCTATGCACAAGCCACTGTAGGGGATATAGGACATCTTAAGATAGCCCCTGTTCCCATGAGACATTTAATAGTAAAAGATTTTTCAACCAGGAAAGTTAAAATTAAAATGATTTTCTGGCCAAACCCAAGTTAACCATAAAATTCAATTAATGAAAACCTCTATTCCCCAAGCATTTCTCTTGTCCTTTAAAGTTTATTTAATTGGGCAAGGTTCTCACTTTTCTTTGGATTTAATTTCTTCAGGCCTTTATTACCAAGCTATGGCTTCCTTCCTTCCAACAAAGGTCACTTATATACCCTTCTCAGTTGGTATTTATGGTTTCATTTGAGTTGATTATCCAGTCAAGATAAACCACTGATTCATGATCCAAAGAAAAGCCAATGTTCTTTAAAACAAATACTTGGAAATCAGTTTTGACTCTCTTTATTTGCTGAAGCAGCTTCATATGAAGTATCAAGCCTTGGGTTTGCCTTAAGTAGTGACTTTAGTTGTTTGAGCAAGAATCAGGAGTCTTTGCTGATTCTCCATTATTGCTGCAGACGTTATCAGTAGTGTCTCGGCTTACTAGAAAACAAGTTATCCTGAATTCAAATACAGGTTGGGAAATGAAGAAGGAGCTAGTGAAATTTGAAAATAGACTAGCTTGAAACTTGATTAATTTTATTGAATTTGGAAAGAAGGTATTGAGAGCTTTGAACCTTTACGTTTTAAGCTTCAGAAACATTTGTAGAAAATGATGCAATGAAAAAAAAAGAAAATGATGCAATGACGGTACACTCATTTATAGGATGAAGCTCAATTTGTGCCCAAAGTAATTTTCGTGGTTATTTGTGTTCTTTTTTTCCATAGCAGAAAGATTTCCAGCATAAACCTCCAGGATCTCCACAGAGTTTGGCACAAAGTTCAGCCCAGAGTCTTTATCAAGGTTTGTTCCTAAATATCATTTCTCCCTTTTAAAAGGGAATGTGTTCGATTTAACTTGAAAAACTTCAGTTGTGCTTGAGAAGGGCAGTGCTTCTGGTTTGTAAATTACTCGCCAAGAAGCAGGGCACCATTTTCTTCCCAAGCAGCAAGAATAAAAGATGGCTGGGGTTTTTTGTTTTTACTTTTTCACTTGGATGTTTTTTCTCAGTTTTAAGCCTTCTTGCTGTGTAACATCAAAATGAGGTAGAGAAATCAATGTGTTGGCTTCTGATTGATTGCATCTATTCTCGGACCTTGGAAGAGACCAGAACTGTGAACTGCAAACTTATTTTTACATCATTTTCCTGATTGTCTGTTTAAAACTTACCTGTAGCTGGGGCTTGCTAGAAGACTCCAGAGATGATAGATATTCTCAGTCTGAAAGAGAAATCTTCATTGAAATGAAGAATGATTTGGAGGGATTAAAAACTTGTATAAAAGGTCAGCAGGCCAGTTCTTTCTGAAGTGGCTTCTTGCTGCCACGTCCAGGACACTTTTGCTTTCAGAGGCTGTGGTCTGATAGACTATCTTTTGGGAGCTTTTTTGATGAGCTAGATGCAGTGGAGGAATTTTTGCTACAAATGAACACCTCTACTGTTGAGAAGCAGTAGGAATCTGCACAGTTTGTATGTAAATTGCTTTCTTCAGAATTGGTATTTTGCAAAGCTAACATGTGAAGAATTTATTTAGGATATGTATGACAGACTTTATATCGAAATGGAGGTTCATATTTCTGCTTTCTCTAAGATTACCTTTAAATACGGGTTAGTGACACCAGTAAATCTTATTAATCTCTTGTCTTTTTGCACATGGATCTCTCAAGAGTTAACATGTAAGACGAAGATTCTTTCTGTGAAGAATTCATTATAAATTGTCTTCAAGTGGATAAAATCAGGCTGCTTGCTAGAGTAGCATTGTAAATACAATGTTAGGGGCCAGGTAAGGTCCTGAGCTGAGGTTATGACATGCGGTAGTTGCGCTGTAGTTGTCTGATATGCTCACTTGAGAGCTTTTTAATAAGCAAGGAAACTGAGGTAACAACAGGGTGCTTGTTGTGAGTGAGACAAGGCCACCGCTATTGCCAAGAGCTGTCTCATCGCTTTTCTCTTAAGGCAAACAACTTCTTCCATTTTCACTGTTCGTCTCCCATGAAACAGCTCGTGGTACGCAGTCTAGGTTACTGTGATAGGCTGACAGCGATCAATAGGAAATCTCAGCGGTGTACAGACAGTGCTAATTAAACTCCAAAGATGGCCTTTGTGTTAGGGAAGGTACTGCTGGGCAGTCATGGTGTACTTCACCTTGTGACCAGTAGAGCAAAACTCTTAAGAAATTGCTGACTTCGGGCTTCTTGGATTTTTGTTTCAGAGAGCTATCTTATTCTGAATATTTGCTCTTACTATCTCTCTTAGAGCCAAAGGCACAATGCTCCAGCCTTTACAAATTGAATTTGTCATCTTTTAGACGTGAAGTGGCAGTTTCTCTGAGAAATTCTGCTTGGTGCTGTATCTTCAGTTTTAGTTGGGTAAAACACTGACCTGACATTTGGTGGTCCAGCTTAGAGCCCAGGTTGGCAGTCTGCTACAGAGCATGCCCTGTACTCTCTCTATAGGATAATTACTTCTATGTTGCTGAAAGTATTGGTCTGTTACTGTTAGTTTCCATTTTAAAAATCAGAGCTGTTTTGGCAGTAGAATGGCCCAGATGAAAACATTTAATCAGGTCACATTGAAGGACTTTGGCTGGCTAACTTCTCTGGGAAATAATTGAAAGAGATGTGGTACATGTGTCGCTGAATATGTTGAAGCCGTCCCAAAAGGAAATTTTTCTGTGCGTTTTTACAGGCATCTTTTCAAGTATCACAAATTTATGTTATGTACATTTTATTTACAAAAGTGATAGCTTATGCTTATATCTCTTAAGGTTTATGTAGCACTTTCCCAGCTGTGTCTGTGTAAGACAAATAGTCTAGGCAAGGCATAAGATAGTCCCTGCTCTCAAGGGCTTCACAGTCTAGTGCAGGTATTATTACGGATGAGGACATGGAGGCTCAGAAAGGTTAAGTTGTTTGCCTGTGATCACATAGTAAGGAAATGTTAGAGGCAAAATTCTAACTCAGGTCTCCCGACTGCCAAATGTGTTTTTGTCCACCACACCATAGTACTTTCATGTATCTATCCTTTGCTAATGTTTGATACTTGTGGTAATAATCTTTTTATTTTTTTAAGTATTGGGGGGGGACAATCTTGGGGTTAAGTGACTTGCCCAGGGCCCCACAGCTAGTAAGTGTCTGAGGCCAGATTCAAACTCAAGAAGCTGGGCCTTCCCGACTCCAGGCCCAGCGCTCTATCCGCTGCATCACCTAGCTGCACCCTTGTTCTAATATCTTGAGGCCCAATGCCATCTTAATTATCAGAGGCAGCTTTAATTATGTTCAGTTATAGGTTTAAGTAGTATATTCTAACTCATCAAAGATACCATAGTCCATGTATGGTAACTTTTTATTAACCAGAGTGTGTGGTTAAATGAAAATCCAGTCAACAGATACTTATTGATTGCTTTTCCTGTACGTGACACTAGTTCAAAAGCCATTTATTCAACATCTCTGATGGACAAAGATACGGAGATAAAAATGAAACCAGTCTTGTCCTCAGGGAGTTTGCTATATTAGAGGACTAAGACATGGGCACAGATAAGTAAGTGCAAGAAAACGTGGGAGGAAGTGAGCACAAAGACCTGGGGAGGTGAAAAGGCATCATGAAGGGCTGGCAAGACAGCTGGTCAGGCCCATGGCCGTGGGAGCTGGAATGCCTTATAATGTATGTCTCCTTGAATGGAGTGCAATTCCGAATATGCCCCGTGGACAGTGTGTGAAGGAGAATTGTGTTAAATAAGCCTGGAAAAGTTTGTATGAGTTTGTATTTTATCATAGAGTTAGTTGATTGAAGGTTTTTTTAGCAGGTAGAGAGAGGAGTTTGAATCCTGACTGAATCCCTGATCAAATATGAGTTCCTCAAGGCCAGACATTGTTATTTTTTTGCTTCCATGTCCTCAGTGTCTGCCTGACACAGTCCTTGGCACAGTGGGAATTTATAAGTGCTGAGTGATTGGCTGTGTGACATCATTTAGCCTCTCTGGGCTTCTATCTGTCAAATGAAGGGTGTTGGGTTAGATTTCTAAAGGGCCCCTTCTAGCTTTAAATCTGTGATCCTTCGAACCCCCTCAGCTTTCTAAAGTCATGTGCTTGATACTAGCTCTTAGCTGTCTTATTTCCATATCAAATCCAAATTTAATGAGATTGATGCCTCTGTAGAGCAAAAAGCTCGGACTCAGTGGAGGTGCCCACCTTGAGCCACCTCCCACCTCTGATGCTCACTTGTTTGTTGTGGGACCACGAGCGAGGGACCTAACCTCACCTGTCAAAGAGATAATAATACCAATAGTATTTAGCTCATGGGGCTGGTAGGATCAGATGAGACATATTGTATGTAGACTGATATATAAATGTGAGTCACTATTGTGATAAAAAATTCCTGAGTCAGATGTAATATCACTTCATTTGAATCATAGACTTAAAATGCTAATGTTTTTTACAAACTCGTTCTACATCATCACTTCCCTACCAGAAATTTTATGATTGCAATACCCTGTACCTTTATCTCTGTGTAAAGAAGGTACAGCTGTGATCACTTTTAAATGTTAGTCCGTATTAAGCCTACCCTGGGATCTGAATTCTAATTCCAATTCTGAAATGGAGAGTCTTCAGTATGGATTAGCTAACTCTTCGCTTTCTGGGCTTGCTTCATGCTAAAAGTACCAATTTGTAGGTAGATTGCTGAGAAGTAATGCATTTACTGCTTTCCCTTCTGCTGACCTGGAGGTGGATTTTCCACTCCCAGGCAAATGGTAGCAGACACCCAGCGAAAGCCAGCCACTGGACATGTTTATTTTAATCCTTATAATGTATGTCTCCGTGAATGGAGCGCAGTTCTGAAGTGTCTTTTTTTGTGGTAAGAATCAAATTGGTCCTCAGCCTCTCTCGAAAAGTCAGGCTTGCCTTACAATTGGTATTTTGATGAGAGAAAATTTAGTATAATGATGGTTTTTCCATTCTGAGAAATTGATTTTTTCCTGGTAGAAAAAAATCATCACTTGAATTTCTAAATTAATTAGCAAATGGGAGGAACTCTTAATATGTGTTGCATATTAAGTGAGTATATATCGTTAGTATCAAAAAAATCTGATATTCAGGTTCTGTTCATGGTGTTTGACCACAGTGTAGCCAGATACTATGCTTTGCAATCCCTTCAGGTTCAAAAATCATCCTAACCCCATATAATTAAGCCCCAGGTATGAATGTCAGTCACTGTTGTGCTGATGTAATGTAAATTTACATTATTACATTACATCACAAAAGCAACTTTTCCATCTGTTTATTCACATTGGATGTAAAATGATATTTGCTTTTTATCACTTGTGAACGGTGATGGGCTGTGGTGTTTTATAAACGGAGAAAATACTTTGCAGTTTCCACACTAAATGGGCACAGTAGGGACCAATTTCCTGCCCTTCAGACCTGCTGATTTAGCCAATACAGTAAGTTAAGTGGCTTTACATTTCTAGAAGCATCACTCAGCGCTCTAAAGCCAGTACTTCTCTGAGCCTCACGGTGCTCACTTAGAAGGACCCAGGTGTCACCATGGGCAATGCAGGCTCCAAGAGTGGCAGCCAAAACAGCTCCATCCCCGGTCATCCCGAGCTGTCTTTTTATGGCTCTTTTTCCAGAAAATGGAATGAGAATGTCTTTTTGGATAATGAACTCTTAACATCTAAGATCCTGTCAACGCTTCAGCCACATTCTGAAAGGGGCTTAAGAACTAGAAATCTTCAATGTCCTGCTCGTTTTCTGAGTACCAATTCTGTGTTTGCATCTGTAGCAGCCTCTTGGAAGGAGCAGCCTCGTAGCACCCTCTTGGGGTCTAATGGCACCCCAGTTCTGCCTAGGAATGTCGGAATGACTATCTCGACCAGGGCGAGTCTTCAGGCGGCAATGAACACGACTGGAACTCTGAATAGATTTGGGTAGGTTGGCTTTTTTCGTAGAGCATCTTGATTTTCATCTCTCTGTTTCAGTATGATTAATTATGTTTCATGCCACTAAATTTAAAATGTTCTGTAAAAGATGATCCTGAACTTGTAAAACTGCCGGCTGCTTTTTCTTTGGTTAACGAACCCCTAACTAACATTTGGCTTTTAGCTCCCCCGGCTTGTTCGTTGTATTTCTGAAAGCGTTAGGATTCTGTGTTTTCTTGCTGTGTTCATCTTTTTCCTATTCGTTATGCTAATGCTTGTCTTTTTGTTTTGGTCCCTTTGACTCAGATTCCTCAGACAGTTGCTGGGGTCTTTTACCTTTATGTTTACAGAGTAAGAGGTCTGTTATTCCACTCTTTACTTCAAGGAACCCTACAGATGTGGGGCTACTACTAGATTGAGCTCCAAAGGACCACCAATAACCTGCCCTCAAGACTTAGTTTTTTTTCTCATTTGTTATAATGAAATAAGTCCGGTGAGCTAAAGCTTCTGTAAGCCAGTGTTCCTAATTTATCATCCCTAACAAAGAGGAAGGGTATGTGGAGGTCACATATAAAGTAGAGAGCCAAGCCACTCTAATAAGCTGCTAATCTAATTGGCCAGATGAGAATTGTATTTTTTTTTCCTATTTAGACCAGGTACAGGAGACATGGATGATACCGACTCTGGATTTACAAAATTCAAGCAGGCAGCAGATGATTCTCTTTCACTGGCATCGTCAACTACTGAATCTGTTTTTGTGGAAGGTATAGAAGGCTTTCTACTGTTTTGAGATTTCAGATCATTTCTTCGCAGCACACGCTATTGCTGGTGTGCTTAGAAGGCATAAAGGAGGGTGGGTTAGAGCAGGAGCCGGTATCTCATGAGTCAGAACACTTATGCCTTTTCCTTAGATTCCTACTCTGCCTCGCTGAGAAGTGAGATAGAGGCCGACGCACAGGAGTTTGAAGCTGAGTCCTGGAGCCTTTCTGTAGAACTGCCGTTTGCAAAGAAACAAAAAAAGGAAGTACTGAAAAGGCAAGATGTCATCTATGGTAAGAAGCGTGGCTTTCCGTTTGTTCCTTAGCAATAGCCCCCAGTTCATTTTTCCAGATGTTGGAAAAGGACTCATTTTTAGCAGAGTGTTGGTCGTGGTGTTTAAGCCATTTCCTGCAGGCCCTCTCTGGGGCCGGAAATATTGGACCAGGTGTTGCTGCAGCTCAGCGCCTTTCTTACTCTGTAAGGTGGGGCTTCTCCCTCTCTAGCCTGCCTTGCTGTTTTTGTTTCATGAGTATAAGTTGGCAGTAGTGTTACTTGGTTTGGACCTGTGATTTCACTGATGGAAGACTTTTCTGGCACTAAGATTCCCTCCACTGGTGCAGATGAACAACTCCGAGGTAGCTTGGTGGCTCAGAAAGGTGCCTGGAGGCCAGACAGCGCATGTAGTTAGTAGATGGATAGCTACAGATGTAGATAGAGAGAGAGATATGTATCTACATACATCAGAAGCGGCCTTTGAACCCAGGTCTTTCTTCTTCCTCCAAGGCTAACCTCCTGCCTCCACATTACCACTCTAAAGGTATTGTTATTAAATGGAGTCAGTGGGCCCTTGTCAGAGCACAGTGCTTGCTACGGAATAGCCATTTAAGAAATGCTTGATGAATTGAAGAATCAGTTTTGTTTTCACAGAAAGCCAGCCAGCTGATTATTTCTGATAGAGCTCCAGGGCTAAGGAGGTGTGCGGTCACTTGGGGTCTTCGTGGCCAGTCTGTTGATTTAAACTGTGAGCTGTCACTGTTGTCGTAAGGAGTGCCTGTCTGTGTGTTGTCAGAGTGCTACTAGGGGCTGTGTTTTGGTGGAGACTTAACATTGATGGGAACGATTATGTTGTTCATGATCCTGTGCAGA